ATACGATAAATAAGGGTGCTAGACGTAAAAATTAGAAATTGGCAAATTAGATATAATAAAAATTAGATTACTATTTTTGTACATCAGACTTAATGAATTTAGTTATAAATGTTATTTATAAGCTGAGTCATTGAGTTACAACATTATTTGTTTATTGTTTGTGTACAACCTACAAAATTTAACTTTAAGTTGTTACTTGTTTGAGTCAACAAATAAGTTGTTTTTTGCTTTATTAATTAAATAATAAACGATATTTCGAATAAATTATTTTAATTTCACCTTTAGACAATAAACAATGATATTAAAACTAATATATTTAAAAAAAAGCTTAACAATAACCTTAACTTAAATACAACTTACATAGTTAAGAAGTTAAAGTTACTCCCTATATACGTCCCACTGCTGGGCACAGGCATTCTCTCATTTCTGAGAGGGGTTTTTACAGCTTTACATTGGTAATTTAAATTTTTGGTTTTAACGATAGATGTTAAATTAATAAACTACAATCAGAGTAAATAACGGATATATATAAATAATAGATAATAGAAAATTCTATTCTTCTATTAAAATTATATAGTCTTAATCCTGGTTTGAAAAACACCACTCCCCCCTTTCTCAATTGCGTGCACTGGTGTCATCACCGTCACCACTAATCGAAACACCACTAACCCCAATACATTCTTAATACGTCATAGTGTAGTAGTAATAGTGCTAAGGGTTATGGTGTTACAGTTGATCTATTAATTATTTTTGGTTTTGGTTTCGGTGTTCCGTCCATATACAGTTCATACTGAATTTCGTTTTTCTTTCGACCGACAAAAGTAATCTATTTTCAGATTGGCCCTTAACATTATTTCGCAATTAAATTTTAATAGGCATATTATTATATATGAGTATAACTTTATCAGACCTATTAATTTTAGAGAACAAATTCGTAATAACCTTTGATAAAAGTCATTCTATAAAACTATTATTTACGGATTTTATCGCGTAAAATCCGTAAATAATAGTTTTATTCAATGTGTAGTGTTCGCGTAAATTTAAGAAATCTTTAAAAGTCATTCTGTCTTTAATTAATGATTTTAAAATTATTAAAATAAAACAATAAATTTATTAAAATTGCTATATATTACTAAGGATGTGACAAATAAGTTATGACCTCTAAAGTGAAGTTAGAAGCTATAATTATTACTAAAAGCTTAAAACAACTGTTATAAAATATTCGGTACATAAACAAGTTAAGTAAACTCAATTTAATTCAATTAATTAATTTAACTTCAATTAATATACACTATATATATTTATATTTATATGTGAACCCATTTCTGCGTACAAACCTCCTCCCATTTCTGCGACGGTGGCTTAGGACTAGTTGGGCGTTATAACATACAACAGATAATATATTTCATTATATATTTGTAATCTTACAACACATTAGAATAATGAACCATTGACTGTTATAATATATTCATTATCGTTAGAAAACGTCATCTGTTTACGTTTACGCTCCAGCCACGGTAATATTATCTATACAGTATTGTAACTCGGCCGTATCTTTCAAATAAATGCCTACAGCCGTGCGGCACGTAAACATGTGATAGGGCTGACTGCCTCCAGCATTTTTACATTTGCCTACTTTGTGTTTCGTTTTGTTGTTAGTTTTATGATTGTAAATATACTTTTTATATAAACAAATAAAATAGGTACTTTGTGAATTGAATAGGAAGTGTTCGATAAAAATGCGTGTCGTTTTTTGATTGGTAGATTTAATTAAAATAAAAGCAGCCAAGAGCGTGTCTGGCCACGCTCAGTGTAGGGTTCCGTAGTTTCCCGTCCGTCACAATAAGTGTTCCCACTTACGAGTTTAAAGGTGGGTATCCATTATGTTCGCGCTCCAGCAGCGCTCTGCGCTCCTGCAACTGCTCCCGGTAGTGGGTACTGTTGTTTCCATCCAAGTTCAAAATGATTTTCCTAGAAAGTCCTTATAAAGTTCTACTTTCCAGATTTTTTTCATATTTTCTAAACCTATGGTTCAAAAGTTAGAGGGGAGGGGGACACATTGTTTTTTACTTTTGGAGCGATTATTTCCGAAATTATTGACATTATCAAAAAATGATTTTAGTAAACCCCTATTCATTTTTAAATACCATTCCAACAATATGTCACACGCTAGGGTTGTAAATAAAAAAAATCACTTCCCACTTTACATATCCGGGGGCTACCCTAATAAAACATTTTTTCCAATTTTTATTTTACCACTTTGTCGGCGTGATTGATATACATATTGGTACCAAATTTCAGCTTTCTAGTGCTAACGGTCACAGAGATTAAGCGAGGACGGACAGACGGACAGACAGACATGGCGAAACTATAAGGGTTCCTAGTTGACTAAGGAACCCTAAAAAAACCATGTTTATGTTTGAATAACAAATCGGTTAAATAAATTTGCGACCGAAAAATATTTGCGCCTCGGCTGAGACTTACGAAATGCTTTATTATTAGATTTTTAAATATAAAAAATCCGCTTTCTAATATAAAGCTAAAAATAATATAAATTAAAAATTGTTTTGGGAAACATGGACAAAGTGGAGAAAAGGAATATCTATTAATTGGTTATAGATACCTGCAGCTACTTTACAATTTATATGTTTGTTTTTAAATGAAGTTCAGATTTATTATTTCTTTATTTCTAATCTATTATTTATTTCCTCCATTTTTTTATATATTTCACAAAATCATCACTGCGGCACAGTCTCGACTGTCTGCATGCCGAGCGCATGCCGAGATCGAGGCGCGTAGGTATAGCTCTCGCTTCGTCCGTTTGTATGAAGTTGGAATACTGTATAGATAATATTACCGTGCTCCAGCCGTCGGCCGAGACGCGGCACTATAATGGGAGTCAATAAAATACTACATTCATTATGCCACAAGGATTGCGTATAGCTTACACTAATTTAAACTCTAAGCTAACTTAATAAGAGCTTATTTTACTAACACTAAATTATAACGGTAAACAAAAATATATTATTTCTTTCATTGCTAGCTGTTGCCTGTTGTGCCTGTTATTTAATTTTTTGGCTGTTGTAATATATTAGTGTTTAGTGTTCAGTTAGCTGTCTAGCTGAGATGACAATGACACTGTTATCTGTTTAATTATATACGTAATGTTTTGATAGCAGGTCCGCATATTACGTGAAAAAGCTATTGTTGTTTTTGTTTATTTTTCGTTAAGTTTTATTCCTCAAGTAATTTTAAATATTTAGTGTAATATAGATAGGATTTAGCGTGTTGTATGTAAAAGTGTATAATAATGTCGCGTCAGCGTAGCGCAGCCATTTGGAACTATTTTAAGTCTAAGTCCAAAGTGTGGACGAAAAACAAGCAGTGTGCAATTAAAAAAACTTTATCTTTCAAAAGTACAATTACAAATTTAAAGCTTCACCTTAAGCAAAGACACGTAGGAGTGTATGAAGAGTTTTGCCATTCGGATTTAATATCGGATAGACTCACAAGGCTTACGTCATCAAAAGTAAACCAAATAATGTTTTTGAATAGTAACTGAAAAAAAAATGTAAATAATTGTAGATAACTAAAACTTTGACCACAGTGTAAATAATGTAAAAATTCAATCAAAATGTACATAACATCAATAAGCTTCTAACTACGCCTGAATGAGTTATTTTTCTTAAAATGTTTGAAAATATGAGTAAATAATTATAACAGATACAATAGTTTCACGTTTTAAAAGAGAATCTTTTAAAACATGAAACACTCAAATGATGCTAATACAATTTAAAAATATTTTTTTTGTCTTCATATAATACTTATAATCGTTTAATATTTATAATATTTATAATCGTAATAATCTTTCATCATAATATCTATAATCGTTATAACAACATACAAAAAAATGCTAACACAGCCAACAACTGAACTGAACTAACCGCGTGTACAATGTAATATTTGAAACTGTTATAATATATTATAACAGTTTAAAACAACAGTTAGAAAAATATATTACAACAACATAACGAATTAGAAAAATATAACAGTTTCGCCCACCTTTACTTAGGACACAACCGCTCTTGTTAAAAATTCATACTCGTAGGTACACGAGCAAACCGAATTCCAATCCGCCAGCACCACATCGCGAGATTACCTGCATATTTAGACATAAAAAAAAACATTTCCAAGTCATATGGATTCTATTAATACGGATTGGTACAGCGTAGACTTTTTTATCCTAAAACCCTTTCAGAAATTTGAAACATTGGAATCATCAAGTCAGCAAAAATTTTGCCATATGTGCCCATATCATAAAGAAAAATTTTTGTACGTTGATTTGGATTACGTAAACATTACTATGTCTTTTTTCAGGCTGTTAGTTTGTGGAATGAAAATCTATGTAGGAAAATTCATTATTCCCTCATTTTCATAGTTCGATAGGACAGCAACGTGACACGGGCAGGGAGTGATCTGAGGTGAACAACTGCCTAATTTCTGACTCCGAGCTGCCACTGGGAATTGATTTTGGGCCGTGCCAGGACTCGAACTCGGAACCACTGTCACGCTAACGGCCAAAAGACCAACAACGCAATCTGCCACTAAGCAGTAGTGCAACCATTGAAGTTGTCTGGCTTAAGGGTAACCAATTTACCACCACTATAGTAACAGACTGTGAGGCATTCCATAGCCTATGTTTTTTGAACTTGTTTTTTTATAGACAAAAAGGGTGACAAACGAGCACACAGTCCACCTGATGGTAAGTGGATGCTGTGGCCCATAGACATCTACATTTATCCTCGATTAAGAATCAAAACGCAGATGCGTTGTCACCCCTGAGGACTAAGATGGATGCCTCTTTTTCAGTAAAGTAGGGTCTACGGATCTCTACAGTCACCATAATTTTTTTTCTGCAAGGCTGCAGTAGTCACTTCTAATCAGGTAGACTGTTTGTTTGTTTGTCACTTTAATAAAAAGTCGTTATTTTTTCGTTTCAGAATGCGAGTCTCTATTATATAACTTCGAATAATCATCTATGGATAGCGCCGACCAAATATTGCGTGGACATGATGACAACTAATCTGTCAACAGACGATACACGGCTGGTAGCAGTAGTATGCTATCCGGATAAAACTCCAGACGATGACAGTTCCGTACTTTATATTACTTACGCAGTTGGTAAGTGTTCGCCTGAATTTTTACTAACTTATACAGAGCTATTTTTCAAAGAGTTGCCAAAGTTTAAACTTAAGTTCAAAAATATAAATAATGATATACTATTATTGCAGTTTTTGAAAATACGAGTAAATAAGATTTTTATTTTTATGTGAAATTATCACAAATTAAATGTGATTTATGGGCAACAACGTTTTTGCCATACGGATGTGTGTGTGCGGAGTAAAATCAGTTAAAATAATGCATAACCACGCATTTTGAATTTAAAAGATAAAAAGGACAGAATGTTTGAGATTTTTTTTTAAATTAATCTTTCTTCAACATTTGTCTATATAACTTATTCCTCCTCTGCAAATTTGGCAGGTTATTGCAAAATAACCCTGTTTAAGCAATGTTGATGTTGATGTTGACGATTTGTGTAATTTTTACACAACTTTGACTTTTAGAAGGAGAGTAATGTTTCTCGTGAGTATATGTATGTATGTTTGTATGTCTACTTCTTTGGCATACTCGTTAGACCAAAAGACTTGATGGATTTTAACGTATGGGGTGTCGTTAGATTAGTCTTAGTTGCGTTAGTGCCATAGGGAAAGAAAAAAATTCTGTAAACTTTTAAAGCAGTATTTTTTTATTACTGTTTTAACCTTTAACCCCTTACGCGGACGTCCGTTGTTCTTTTTTACGCTTGTTGAGTTTTCATCCCTTTGTTGTGTTATAACAAATTCGTAATGCTACGTGCTAATTGGTTTGCTTTATCTTTCGTAATGGGAAAAGGAGTGGAATAATTTCAAATTATTCCACTCCTTTTATTAAATTCTCCAAATTATTAATTTGCGGACGTCAGTCTTCACGCCATACAGACTTTGTTACGTTAAGGCAATCCGCCAACATCTAGGACTTCATCACCACTAACTATCAGGTGCGGTTTTAGTCAAGTAGTGGCTTAAAATTAAAATAAAATATAATTTCAATTTAATTTTTTTCATTTTCTTCCTCATCGGCATGTTTACATGATCACCTTGTCTGCAATGACATCTTTCATTGTAAAGAGGATTTACTTTAGTCGTCACGGTAAAGCCTGGCGTCGACTACAGTAGAAACGTGTCGCATTGATCGCAAACTTTCATCAAATTAGGTCGTTTTTGCATCATGGACCGCTCAGATGAAGAGATGATTTAATTTCAAATACTTTGATGAAGCATGGGAGAATAGCAAAGGGAAACGGCGTGCTCCAAATACTGGATACACGACATTCGTATGAAAAAAAAAATAACTGTGGTAAATTTCATCATTTATATATAGATTTGAACCACGGCAATTAAATTTTAAATTTTTTCCAATTTTACCCCTATTATACCACTGAGTGATAGAATTCATTCTACAAATATATATGGGGGTTCCCTAGAATTAAAAACCTATTTGATTTAACAATCAGCAGAAAAAGAATTATCTAAATCGGTTTGATGATTGACAAAGATAATACACATCCACCTTAATTTTAAGTCGGTTAAAAATAAATAAGTGTACTAAAAACCCCAACAGCACTAATTAAACTGTTAATTGCAAAGTTAACTTATAATAACATATTATATATTATAACATAACATGGCAGCGCGATGGACTATTCCTTGCTTCAAAAAACCCATCAAAAATATAAACGAGACAGTTAGTAGGGAACCTGTAAAAATTTTTCAATACTTTTTTTATCCTATGAAAAAGTTCTTCATTCATTTTTATTTAAACAAAAAGATTTTTATGAAAACTACATAAAAATTAATAAAAATACTCGCGTCGACTGAGGCGCGCCGAATTGAATCCAATCTCATCGGCAAAGAAATTCGCCTCTTGCACGTATGTATGTTCGTTGCTTTTATAATGAACGCAGTTTCATAGTGTTACGCGCCGAAGTCGACGGCACTAGCGCCATCTAGTCTCGAACGGAAGAGCTAAAATTCTTGAAGTTGAAACTCGAACTCTCGGTACCTTGCGCGTGTTTACTTGAATATTCTGGATATTTCGGTGCTAATTTATATTTATAGGCGCTGTAAGATGCGATCGGGGAAGTATTGAAGTTGGCGAGACAAGCGAAGCTTCGTAGCGGAATAAAGTGAATCAGTGTGATTAATTATTAGTGTAAAAACACTAATAATTAATCACACTGATTAGTGTAAAGTGAATTAAAGTGATAATTTAGGTGATTCCATCGGCAATTTTTATTGTCACGAAGCTCAAGCTCGTAACAATAGTAAATATATATAGGAGGCGACTTTCTGCGTTGCGATTCGACTCGGCTCGGTGAGCCTAGTGGACGAGGGCGTGCTAGAAGGCGACTCGACCATCGTATTACTAGAAGTTTCATTCCTTTGACTCTGTTGTCAAACAATTAATGACAATTGTAAATAAAATGGGTATACAGCCATATATCGCATGCTATCATGCCTTTTTGGCGTATCCAATAGTCGCCTCTTACGACACCCACAGCACGAAATGGACGATACTCTTTCATCACCACTGCAGGGTTTATTAGATTCTTTAAATTAAAAACAAGTGGTATAATTAAAAATTTTGTACAACCGACTTCAATACGACCGAATCAATGTATTCGAAGTCAATGACATACGCATTATTTAAAGATAACCCAAAAACTACTGGTCAGATCTTGATTAAATTTATATTGGAACATACGAGAAGCACTAGCTTTCAGATAAAAATCATCAAAAACGGTTCGCCCAGAGAAAAGTTATGAGGTAATAACACCCATAAAAAATACACACAGTCGAATTGAATACCTCCTCTATTTGAAATCGGTAAAAAAGTATTTCCGTTTTGTAATGTCTTAAAAACCCCTCAAAGATAATATTAAATCATGGGTGAGTTAGAGATGTCGAATTTATAATTAATACAATATAAATATATTAGGTTTCCGGTATGGACGTATTGTGAGTTATGAGTGACGCCGATACTGCAACCCATTCAAGATTAAAAAATCTTGCACAAAAGCGTCATCAGAACGTAAAGACGTTTGTTCGCTAATATGAGGGCCGATGGCTGAGCAGTATATAATATATGTAACTCAAACTATTGCAACGCGGATTTCAGTTTTGATAACGAAAATGGTACGGATTCGTGATACTTAAGATTTCCTTATATTTTTATCGATATTTTAATTGCGATGCGATGAATGCGGCACTTAACTAAACAAAAACATACATTCGGCCTACAGGTGTTATGCATTGATTCCGTACTTATTATTTTGAAAAAAACAAAACTTTCTTATTTATTGTGCTGGAAGATTAAAAATAACCGCTATCATAACATTACCTTACGTTTCGCTCTGCACCTGTCCATTATTTTGTATAAAAAGAATATCTGGTCGTGAATTTTGTGTTTGCTACCTTTCAAACGTCGGACGCTGAAGAGTAAACCATACTGTTGGTTCTTTTGCCATATTCTCTGAAAATTTTATACTAAGCTTTGAAAATAAAATGAACAATTCATAAAAAACAGTTGTATAAAGAAAATTTATTATTAGTTGGTCAGGTTATATATAGTTATTTAAAGAAGTTATTATTTTCACAATACGACCACAAAGCTCGTATTACTAAACTTTTGAAATAACGAAATCAGTGCCATTATTTATTTATTAAATCTACAATTTGTGTTAGCCCCGGGGACGAAGCGCTCGACGTAAATTCAACTATCCGTGCAAGAATACGAACTTGTTAGTTGTAGAAAGTTCCCGGTAGAGCATATATATATATATATATATATATATATATATATATATATATATATATATATATACGTGTTCGTGTGTTACTTCACTTTACTTTTTTTAATATTTTTATAGAATAAGGATAACAAACGAGCCCAAGTTTCACTTAGTCCTAAGAATCAAAATGTACAACACGTACGAATTAACTTGAGACTCCGCTGAAATGCGACCCCCTTCCCGACTCCCCGCACCGCGTCCCGCGCTGGCCGTGCGCGCTCAGTACCGATAGCAATTTTGTTACGGATACGCGTCTCGACTCTAGTTCGATATTTTTGATAATTGTTTGTTGTTTGGTTTGGACTTTTATTTGTTTTTGTTATACTTGAACGTTATTTTATCTGTTTGTTGTTAATTGCGTTGTTTTATTGTTAAGTTTGGACGTTGTGTTGTGCCGTTTTCTTGTGACGCTTAGGAGTTACTCCGCCTTTTTTATTTTTAAAAAAAAATGGGAGAAAAGACAATACATAGCCAAGCACGGACACTTGCTCTAAAAGTTTTAAAATTTTTCGAAGATGAAAAATCAAATAAAAAGTTTCTTATTCCTGTGGACCAAGCTTTAAAGAGGGCTTGTGCAGCAACAGGCATATCAAAGGCAACACTACTAAGAATGAAAAACGAGGCGAAAAAAGTTCAGTCAATTTCTCAAGACCAAAATGATGATGTCACAGTATCGGAACCATATACTTCTCAAGCAAGACCAGAACTTAAACTATCAACTCCAGGAAAAAAAAGGAAACAGAGCTCAAAAAAAAATTGAACTCGACAATTTTGATCTGTGTGCTCTAAGAAACCTTGTCAACAGTTTCTATACGGTACGGAAAGAAAATATTACAAAAATAAATATTTAAAATATATAAAAATGGCAACAGTATATCACTTATTACTTCACCCCTTGCCAGAACATTTTATTTTGTTTTTATTAATAATCTTAAGCAAATCTCAAAAATTTCAAATAAAAAAATATTACGACGCATTATTTTGCACACCGTACATTGACAATTACGTCATCGGCCCAGGTCTCAAGTTAATTCGTACGAGTTATAGATGTATTGTCACCCTTTTTTTTTTTTTTTTTACATGGGGAAATGCCTACGCATACCCGCCTCGCGGGGGCAAGGACGGGTTATGTCGGACTCGCACCGACTAAAACCCCATGGTGTTCCACCTTTGTCGCTTATTGGCAGGGCCACGGGAACACTTTCGCACACATCCGCAGCCCCACCAGCGC